CATCTTTTAGACATCTTTTAAACGTCTTACGAAAAGATGGCTAAAAGACGTCTTATGTCTCGATTTTGGACATGGTGCTGTCTGAGTAATAAATCACATTATCGTTATTAATAGGTATTTATTTGAAAAATTCCATTAATTAATGTTTTCACTCTTGCAAGATTGAACGGAATTTATTTGTTAGCTCCATCTAAAAAAGAAAAACCATTAAAATTACTTTCAATTAATTGGATATTTATATTAGATTTATTAATTAGATAATTATAAAGATGTTAAATGTTTATGACCATAGCACTGAAGAAAGTTTGATAATAGGGGTGTTCATAAAAATAATGAAACAAACCCAGATAGCACAAAATATCCTAGAAGCATCCTAAATATGTCCTTGGACATCCTGAAAAATGCTTCAAGATATCCTTCAGACATCCTGGATGTCTCTAGGATATCTTATACTATCAAGAAAATTATGAATTAAAATTACAAATTTTATTTTATTAAATTATGCATTGCCATGCTTTTACTTGCAAAAATAACAGATTTATCTTGTCGTAAATGAGATGAAATTTTCATACGAAACATAAAATCTACATATTATTTTTTCTTTTAAATTAGGTAACTTAGGTAATAAATATTTAATTTTTTGACATTTTTTAATAAAGAAATGTTTTAACTTAACTCTACTATTTTGATGTTTGCTATACTTAAGAAAAACACGGAATATTTTTTCCATCTGTAAAAAGAAACACAATGTCGCAGAATTAAGGAAAAATAGAGAATTACTATGCCAAGCTCTAAGCCGTGTAAGTAGATGATAAAAAGCATTACTGCTTCTCATTGATCCAGTAGCTGAAATACATGTAATACACATTTTATTATTTTTGAAAATACTTCTAAGTATATATCCACCAATTTGATATATTTTATTTAAATCTGTTTTAGTCCAAGAAATTACTGTTGTATTTAAATCATTATTAATGTTTTTATAAACAAAGTTATCAATTAAGGAACTTTTTGAATTGTGGTTTACAGTCAATACATCAAAGAAATCAGAAAAAAATGTTCTGTCATCTTCTTCATAACTGCTATTACTAACATTCTTCATAAATTGAGACACTGTAATTAATTTTAAATTCATTTTAAACTGAAGTGCATTAGGAATAACATTTTTACGTCTTACAGTAGAAAAAAAGTTTTCAATACAATCTTGCGTCAATCGTGCAGGTAAAAAAAATTTAAAATTTTGTTAGTAGCCATACTATAGGGGATTTGAAACCGGGCGCACTTGATAGCGGCTCGGGGGCAGAAAGCGGAACGCGTGGGGGCCGCTGTAAGCGGTGGGCGAGGGGATGGCGTCGGCAGACGGGGGCCGCCCCGCCGCTGCTTTTCTAATCCGGGATAGTGGGGGGCAGCGAGGGGCGCCACAACTTTCACGCGGCGCGGGGGGGGGGCGGGCCATTCCGAATTTCCCCTCGCGCGACCGAGGCGCCTCTCCGCGGATGGATCCCCCGTCGCGACGGCGGTGCGTCGGTAATTGATCGAAGGTCCACGGCAATCGATCGTCGTCGTCGTCGTCGGAGATCTTTCGCGTCTCGACTCGCAATGCGGACTGCGGACGCTTTCGCGTCATCGATATTTTCAATCGCGCACGCATCGTGTTTATTTCTATTTTAATATTTATTAACCCTTCGTCAGACAACGTTATTTGAGATCTTCAAAACGTTATTAAGAAGTACATATTCGCAAGTAATAATAATATTTCATGGATACATATATAAATGCAAGATATTAGATCGCATCGTGTTTATTTCTATTTTAATAACTACTGAAATCTACATTGCAATAATCGTACAGACAGAAACAATTTCAACGTACGCGACATTTCGTCGTCGTCGTCGGAGATCGTCTCCGTTTGCGTGATCGCGGTTATCTCTCAAAGCTATTTCCAGAGTTATCTGCTGCCCTATTGACATCCGTCGAGCGATAAGCGCGAGGCAACGCGAATTTTCTCGCGCAATTATATCGTCAGTTTGAAGTTTGCGAAGGTTCTATTTTTAAAAATAATTACTGAAATCTACATTGCAATAATCGTACGGACAGAAACAATTTCAACAACGTACGCGACTTTTCGTCGTCGTCATCGTCGGAGATCGTCTCCGTTTGCGTGATCGCGGTTATCTCTCAAAGCTATTTCCAGAGTTATCTGCTGCCCTATTGACCCCGTACATCCGCTGTCAAATCGTTATCGGGCGCTATATAAACGCGGGAAGAACGCGAATTCTGACCTATTGACATTCGCCGAGCGATAAGGGCGAGACAACGCGAATCCTCGCGCAATCGTCAGTTTGAAGTTTGTGAAGGTGCGAGAACGTTGATGCTCGTAGTTCGCGCGGTACATCTGTATGGAAAGAAATAGTGCCATGGAGAGTCAAATGAAAAATAAAGAGGCTCTAATGTCGTTGTTGGACGAGCCGTTCGAGGATCAGGTCGTAGAAGTCGAACGCACCTCGACGGATATCGAGTCGGTCAGTTTCGCTTTGCTCGATCTGCTGCGCGAACCTGAATGTTCGGCGTCGCAGAATTTGAGACTGTTGCTCGCAAGCGTCTCGGAGTACCTGACGACTATGAATCAGAAGCGAACCGATTGCGACGTACGTAGTATGCGCGAGGGCAGCAACTTAAAGAGCGTGCTGACAGAGCTCCATAAATTGTAGCTGAAGAAAGGTCCTAAGAGTCCTACCTGTTCCGTGAATGAAATGTATAATTTCATTCGTGATCAACTTCCGTCGAAGTTGTATTCATTATTAGTGAGTGATCTAATGACACAAGATACCTTTTACGAATGAATCAATTATCACGACAAATACGTCAAAAAATTTACCCGTCGGTGCGGGAGGGGATATCCCCGCCGCGGTTTCGACGGATCATTCGTACAGCGTGGAGAAGCGAGACGAGAAGGAGGAGGAAGTAGGATGCAGCGGCGGCGGCGGGCTCGACGCGTTGTTCGACCTGACAGAGTCTGGTCGCGATCTCGATCGTATTCCGCAGCATATATCGAAGATGAAAGATCGACGGATGCTTACCGTGAGGTCGCCCGGGGAGATCGGATCACAGTTGATCCGTCTGGACGTCTACGACATCAAGGATATCGCGAACAAGGAGAGACGTGATTGGTGGAAATGCGCAAAATTGCGATCTCAGATCCTGACCACTTTGTCGCGTACGGATCGCAAGCGACTATTAGTGCGTCAGTTATTGGATCAAGCGGCGGACGGTTTGAGGAAGATTCCCGGGGTTACGAAGGAGACGAGGAACGTCATACATGAAAGCGGCCGGAGCGGCGTTTAAATATATCGCGAATATGTACGTCTTAAAAATGTTTTTTGAAAAAAGACTTATTATATTCTTTTATCAAGATACACGTTTATTCAACTTTTTTTTCATTACAGAGGTACATCATACCGCGAGCCGTCAGGGGCCCCTAGTAAAACCACCCACTACTCTACAAAAAAAAGTAATATGTAGGAAAAAAAAATACATTATCTTAACTACAACACGGCTGTCTCATTTCTATAATACAATAAAAAGCGTTACAGAATGTCGAGACGCGCGCGACGTTCTGCCCACCAATCGTGTAAGCGATATCTATTTCCGAATGACCTCTCACCCGCGTCGCGATATCAAATACCGAATCTTCAGAATTAATATCATGTATTTATATATGTATCATGAAATATTATTACTTGAAGATATTACGCTGCGTTTAAATATATATATAATATATTGCAAATATGTACTTCTTAATAATGTATTGTTTAAAGTCTATGTTTCATTGTACTGGGACGATGGGTGAATATTATACAAATTCAATTTCATCATTGGCGCTAACGTCAAAGCGAAATCGTCACGTTCGCCTTGTCGACGCTCATTTTCAGCCTTTCACGAATTGACACCTTTACCGAGACTTCCCACCCGGGTCGCGATCGCTGAAAAAAAGGAACGCATCGCTCGTTACGTCGGTCACTCGCGCTTCGATCGAGCGGTGACGCTTATCGCTTCTCGAGGGTCAAGGGGTCGAGGTGGGAAACGTATCGTTATCTCTCGACGATGTCGCTCGCGCGCGTAATTACGTGCGCGATTATTATCGTCGTCGCGGTAAATTGTAAATCGAGTGAAAATGAGATTGCGATCAGTTATCTGCAAAAATATGGGTATCTGGATAACAGCGGTGCACAGCGATTTTCATCGTCCTACAACACTACACAGGAGTTACATCGAGCCGTCTCACTGTTTCAAGAATTCTATCGACTACCAGGCGACGGCGAATTAAACGAAGAAACGCTGAATCAAATGGGCAAACCGCGATGCGGCGTCGAGGACATTTCGGAGCGCACGTTCGCTCCGCTTTCGGACAAATGGCCGAGGAAACATCTCAAATGGAACTTTCATCTGGCCAACGACATAATCTTGAAAACGACCCGAGCCGTGTTTGATCTGTGGGCAGCGAATTCGTCATTGACGTTCGAGCGCGATTCACTGAATCCCGATATTTTGATATCGTTTCGTGAGGGGCGTCACGCGATGCTATACTCCCGACGAAACGAACCGTGTTCGTCTGCGTTCAGAGGTCCTAACGGAGATGTCGCTCACGCGTTCTTTCCCACCGGAGACCCCAATTTCGTCTCGGAGGTGCACGTAGACAAAGCGGAGACGTGGCACATACAGCTGACTAAGAATCCCCCGGGGATGTACAATTTACTTCAGACATTGACGCACGAGATCGGTCACGCTTTAGGCTTGCCGCACACCTTCCGCGAAGATTCGGTGATGTTCGCGTTCGTGCCTGAGAAGACATTCAACTTACTCTAGAGGACGTTCTTTCCATTTAACACCTGTACGGCGCTAAAGAAAACGCTAAAGTTCCAAAAGTAATAACGACGACGACACCGACGACTACCACAACGACGACGACGATAACAACGACGAGTACGAAAGACGTCGAGATGGATCTGTGCACCTTGCGAAACGTGGATACCGTATTGATAACGAACGGTCGATTGTACATCTCGCACGAACGATACATGTGGTCAATCGATATAGACGGGAAAACGTACAAGAAACCCTTGCTATTGACGGACTACATGAAATTTCTTCCTAAGAATTTCACGCGTCTGACGGCCGCGTATCAGACGCCCTCGGGCAATATCATGCTGTTCGCGAGCAATATGAGCTACATGATCACTTATCCGCGTCTAACGCTAGTTTCAACTTGGCCAAGATCTTACACAGATCTCAGAATTCCCGATACCGCCAGGAAGGTCAACGCCGTGCTGAACACGAACGAAAGACGAACCTTCGTTATATACGACGATAATGTTGTGGGCGAGATAGACGATTGTTCGATGAATATCGTTAAGTACTACCACATCGACATGATATTTCCGGGAATACCTCACAGCGTATCGTCGGCCTTTCGATACATAGACGGTAATCTGTACTTTATCAGTAAAAACCGATTCTACAGATTCAACAAATTTACGAAAACCGTAACGGTATCCGGCAAATTTGATCTTAGGATCTTCGGTATTACCTGCCCGAGACAGGGACTGATGATGCAACTGCGAGATCTATTGAGTCGATTCGTTCGAATTGACGCGAGGGAGACGTCGAATAGAGAAGAGGAAGAATAGAACGATTCGACGTATCCCCTCCTTTACATGTCACTCCTGAGAATGTTATTGAAAGGAGGGGGAATCGTAATTTATTTCTTAAAATATATTTCGCCTCAACTTTCCTCGAACGACTCATTCTCGCGTGATCCGCCAACTGCACCGCGATAACGGAGAAAAAAAGAGAGAGAAATGTGTTCGACGTTACACGCCCCGTATTTCGAACAGCGCCAATCCGACGACGATCTCGAGAACGGCGTCGATAACGCGAAAAGAAGAAGAAGAGTCGACGAGCAATCGACGGAATTAGAGACTCCGTTTTTGAATCGGGGCAACGTCGACTGCTGGAAAAACATGTGGTGAGTTCGCGACGATCCCGTATTGCTCGCCTACGATATAACAATAATTTTTTTTAATTATTTTCAGTCACAGCAACGACGACGTCAGTACATCGAAACGTGACGCCGAACGTCATTCGGTGCGAATTCTGGAAAGAAGATACCTATTAACTAAAACGGGGTACAAATTCATAGACGTCGGTATCACAGCCGTACTCCCGTGTTACATACACATCGTCATAGGAGATTGTCGCGGCAAGGAGATCTCACTCTCGCCTGAAACGTGGAAGGAACTCATCGATCGTAAACGCGCGGTGTTGTCCCATCTACAGCGCGGAAAGAACGAGCGCGCTCCACCACCGATGTGCTTCGAAAACGGAAAACTAAAATTACGATTTAGCAAGATTAACACTCTGTCGACCCTACGCCTGGAAACGTCCACGACTCGTATGATCGTGTCGACGAACACCGTGCTCCTCATGTTCGACCTAGAACTTTGCGTCAACAGCCTCGTGAATTCGTTGCGCGCGATCATCAACACGATCGACGCAAATCTGACGCGCTTCGTCGCTATTGCGGCCACCGTGACGGATCCCGCGAACGTCCCAAGAGCGATACGCGAGAGCGAATTCTTTGATCGCAATGACATCGTTGACTGCGAGTTAGTCGCTCTGTGCTTCGGGAATATTGAGAAATTATTGTAATCACATATTATTATTATTATTAAAAAAAATAAAGAGAGAAAAAAAACCCCTTTATGGAACCTCGTTTGATTATTTTTTTTCTCCTCCTCCTCTCCAATAGAATCACATACGGATAAAAGAAGAAGTATGACTGCGAAGGTTAGAGAATGATAAAACATATATTTTGTTTTTAAAATACACATAAGTTTACATTAAGGCGAACAAAAAAATAATATGTATAGAAACTATAACACCGCCGTTTTATTTATCCATGGGTTATGCGAACAGTTCATTCCTAACCACTTCACGTATACGTCGTCGCCTCGCCTACGCAACACTTTCTCCACAAGATAAACGTCGGGGTCGGAAACTCGCAGCAACTCATGCTCGTAAAATCCTCCGGCTATCGGTTCCCCGCGGTAGTCTATCAACAGATACGTCACAGGATTGGTACGTTGTACTTTAGCTACACGGAAGATTTCGGTAATCCAGTTAGGGGTATAGCCCTTTTCGAACAGCGTCTTGAATTTGCTCATGCGCACCGGATCGTTTACCCTGAATCTACCCGGAGCGGCGATCTTCGCGCGACTGTACACCGTGGACAAGAGTCTCTTGGCGACGGCGGGTGTCACGTCCATCGGTCGCATCCCGATCGTTCTATGCCTGCGGTGGTTGTAATTCGTCAGCAGACGCGGCAGCGCATCGACCCACGCGTACGATCCGTTGAGCGTAAAGAGTTTCCACATGTCGTTCTTCAGCGTGCGATTGAATCTCTCCACCACCGACGCCTTCATCACCGAGTCCTACGTCGAGTAGTGATTTGTATCGCGTTTTTTTATAATCTCTCGCACGTTAGCGTTGTAGAACTCCTTTCCCTTGTCCGTTTGCAGATTCCTCGGATATCGCGCGTCCTCGCAAAATATCCTCAACAGGGCCGCGGCTACTTCGCTTCCGCTTTTGCTCTTGAGCGGTAACGCCCACGCGTACTTGCTCAACACATCGATAACCGTTAGTATGTAATAGTAACCCTTGTGTCGCGCGTAGGGACGCATCTCGACCACGTCAGCCTGTCACAGATCGTCGTAACCGCGCACCACGACGCGACGTCGCGGGAAGTTTCTCCGCGCCGGTGCGTGCAGCTCCTCCACGAGTCTCCGCTTCTCGGCACTCATCATTGCGCGCGTGTATTCCTCTCTCGACTGCACGAAAAAAAGACGGCTCATCTACCTCTTTATTGACCTTTCCTCCTGTTACCGCGAATGTTCGCTATCTCTCTCTCGAACGATTCCTTCGTCACGATTCCTTCAATCTCGCGGAATTTGGCTAGAAAGTCGTTCATTGCGATCTGCGCGCCGAGTATCTGTCCCGTCTGCGTGGATTTAGAGTTTTCCAAGTTCTGTATCTGGTTTTCAATCTCCTCGAACTTGGTCAGAAACTCGTTCATCGTGATTCTGAGTCCGCTCATGACGTTGTTTTCAGTCTCCTTAAATTCGCTCAATGTGGTTCTGAGTCCGTTCACGTCGCCGTTTATCCTATCCACCTCACTTTTCACCGACGACAACGATTTATCGATCTCCTTTCCCGATTCTTGAAGCGCGCGTTTGACGTAACTCTTATTCGTCGCGTCGCTGTCGATCTCCGGCGCGGCTAGACGTCGTAGCTTGCGCTCCCTCGCGTCGTAGGAATCCTCGTTCAAGCAAAGCGCGCTGTCTCGTATGTAGTTCCGCAGGGAGTCGATAGAGAATCGCGATCTTTCCGTCGCGAATCCGCCGCTGTCGCCGCGTTTCCTCAGAGACATTCCGAATTTGTTCACCGAAATTGCGCCGATCTTTCGTCGAGAAACGTACTGCCGTCGCGATCGACGCGACAGCTCAATTTATAATCAATCCGATCTCGCAAAGCTCCTCAATTATCGACTGAATCTCGTTACCGTGCGCGTCGTTGCCCGCTTAACGAGAGACCTCGAGTAATCGCAGACGATCCACCAATTTGTTAGGATCGTCCCAATAAACGTAATCCATTGTATTGTCGTTCAATTTCATGATCGACGGTAATCTGGTCACGCCATGCGCCAGCGCCCTTTCTATTACTGCCGATTCTACCGCGCGATACCAACGGAGCGATGATTTTCGTGTATTTTTGTCCCCTGTTGCCCATAATGGGGTTAAGAGCATTATAATCGCGTCTGTAAGCGTTTGTCGCTAACAGTATATTTCTGTACTTTTGCATGTCGTCCTCGGTGTAAATTGCACCATTGGGATATCTCTTGAAGATTAATTCGTACAAGCCGGGCGTGCCCGTGTATCTCACTCCGTTCACGATCACGGAATCGTCCGCGTTCACCTTGAACCGTTTGTCACCGAGCATCGTGCCGTCATTTCCGACGTACACACCGTAAACGATATCGAATTCATTTTGTGGATCCCCGTTTAGAAGAGCGCCCACGTATCATTGTCCCAACGGACCCAATTGACTGTGCAGTTCCTCGTGACTCTGCGGCGTTTGTAGAACGTCCCTTACGGGTGTTTCGGGGGAAGGCAACGGCAACGCGAAAACCTCCAGCTCCTCTCCCATCCGCTCGTGCAACGATAATTTTCGCGGTTTCAGAGGCGTGGAGTGAATCGGGAGCATCTCTGACTCGGCGCTCGTTTGTTTCTTCTTCTTCTTAGATCTCGATATTATTTTTCGCGCGACTTTTCCTTCGTCGTCGTCGTCGTCGTCGTCTTCGCTATGCTCGCGTTTCTTTTTAATAACGAAACCTTTTGTCGTCGCTGCCGCCGCTGCATTGTCGTTCTTGGATTCACCTCTTTCGACGTGTTCGACGATTTGTTTCAACGGGTCGACGATCGGTTTGAATTGTCTCTCGAGAGCCATCTTGTTTTCCATACTGCCGGTTTTCAACGCTCTGTATTTTCTGCGTATCAACGCGCGCGTTTTAGCGATCTGCCGCGCGGTCTTCTCTCGGTCAACGGTGTCTTTCGCGTCGCTCATCGTCGTGAATCTCAACGACGCGGAGGGCCCGGGTACGCACTGGGTCGCCTATGCGAAGAGGGGCAACAACGCGATCTACTTTGACAGTTTTGGAAATCTTTGACCCCCGAGGGAACTCGAACGATATCTCGGGAGTGACGTGAATATCGTGTACAACCGTCGTTCGTATCAGACGTTCGATCATAGCATCTGCGGTCAATTGTGTTTGCGGTTCCTCCGAGACGTCGACTGGAAACGTTTCTGACCATGAGAGAGGGAGAAACAATCTCGCTATGTCGCTGACTCTCTCGCTATCCGGAAGAAGCAGCGTCCTCTCAGCCGGCTACTTTCCCGCTCTGGATCTGAGCGGCGGCGAATACGAGATAGGCCTCGCGAATTTCGAGACGTACAACACGATACCGAACATTGACTTCACGAACAATAGATTTTACTTTGACAACAACGACGTGATCGCTATTCCCGAAGGATCGTACGAACTGGACGCTATAGATAGATACCTGAGAACAGCTATCCTCCGCAAAAAAAGTACGAAGAAGAAAGACGATAACGATGACGACCGCGAGAAAAGCGAACGCTCGATAATTTTACGCGCTAACGAAAACACTATGAGAAGCGAGATCAAGTGTACCTATAGAGTTGAGTTCACCAAATCGAACAACGTTGGCTCTTTGTTAGGTTTCTCGACACGTCGCGTACTCGAGCCGAATAAATGGCACGCGTCCGACAAACTGGTGAATATTATGCGCGTGAATATCATTCGCGTGGAATGCAACGTCACCGCGGGAGCCTACAGCAACGGCAAGCCGGCACACACGATACACGAATTTGTACCGAACGTTCCACCGGGATATAAGCTGTCGGAGACTCCGATGCAGATCATTTACCTTCCGGTCATCGCGCGTGTCACCGATATAACGTTACGCGTCGTGGATCAGATCGGACGATTGATCGACTTCCGCGGGGAGGAGATAACGGTTCGACTACACGTGCGTCGCAGAAAATAAAATAA